TTTTTTTTTTTTTTTTTTTTTTTTTTTTTTTGTTGTTGTTGTTTGGCTTTTTTTTTTGGTTTTTCGAGACAGGGTTTCTCTAGGTAGCACTGACTGTCCTGGAACTCGCTCTGTTGACCATAGCGGCCTGTGAACCAGTCAGCGTGCTCCACCATGCCTGGCCTCGTGGACCTTTTCCATCTGTCCTGACAAAACTGTTTTAATCAAACACTAACTCCCCACTACTCCACCCCTGCGAACGCCGTTCCACTGTCTTTGTGAATTCCATTATCTTTACTAGCGCTTTTGAATTTAGGATTCTACTGAGTCCCATCTTCCAAGAGCACTCCAGAGTGCTGAGGTTACTGGCAGGCACTACTAAGCCAAACACATTCATGCCTTTTAACTGTCTTATCTCACAGAACAGAACATCTTCTCGGTTCATTGATGTTGTGGTGTGCATTAAATTTTCTTTCCAGTAAGGTCAAATAACATTCGATTACAGGTATATACCACAGTTTCTTTATTCATCCATCTATTTACCTTTGGATATTTGGATTCCTTCCACCTTTTGTCTTGGGAGGGACTGGGAAGGATCATCAACCTAGAAATGGGAAATTTTCTATAAAATTACAATTACATATAAACCCCAACTCAGCCAATCTCAGTTCTGAGAATTAATGCCACTAATACATAGATGCAAAGGTACAAAAACAATACTCACTCCAAGCCTAGTAACTGGAACATTGATTATAAGGAGAAGACTGGTGGTGAAGAAAACACATGGCTTGATTGCTGAACCTGACTCCGCTGCAGCAGGGGCTCACACAGCTGCTGCAGGGACCATCCACTTGGGTGTTCTTTTTTTATTCACAAGCTTTACTGGAGGGGCAGAAAAGACGGATCACTCTGGTTAGAAACACTTGCTGTGCTTATAGAAAACTGAGTTTGGGCTGACATAGTGACTGCACGCCTTTAATCCCAACACTTAGGAGTCAGACGTAGGTGGGTCTCTGAGTTTAAGGCCAGCCTGATCCCCACACGGAGACTTTGTTTTGAAAAAAAGAAAAACGAAAACTAAACCAAGCCAAATGATCAAAAAAGCCTGAGTTTGGTTCTCAGCACCACATACTAACAGCTCACATCTTTTTTTTTTTTAAAGATTTATTTATTTATTTATTTATTATGTATACAACATTCTGCCTCCATATATTCCCGCACGACAGAGGAGGGCGCCAGATCTCATTACAGATGGTTGTGAGCCACCATGTGGTTGCTGGGAATTGAACTCAGGACCTCTGGAAGAGCAGCCAGGGCTTTTAATTGCTGAGCCATCTCTCCAGCCCCAACAGCTCACATCTTTAACTGGAATACAAGGAGATTCAACACCCCCTTTGGCACCCAAGGGCACTGACATACATGTGGTGCACATACATACATGCTGGCAAACACTCATACGCATATAATAAAAACAGCCTTATTGGATATGGAAAATGATCACCACATTTAGTTTATTTGTGGGTGTGTCATCTAACTATTCTAAAAATAATCCCATAGTTTCTTCGACTGTCACT